TGGTGCGAGATTCTCCAGCCAGGATTAAAGGCGCCTGTGGAAAATGAGCAAAACTGAGTGGTGACGGGGAAGCCAACAGTTTGCGAAGCAGGGAAGCGGGCAGGGCCAGGGTGAGGGAAATGAGCTAGAATTGATAAGGACAGCTCCCGCCTCTGCCGAGTCCACTGAGCTGGTCCTCACCGCGCTCCGCTGCACTTTCCCCGGAGAAGAAAGGGCTTCCTCTGCTCCCTCAGACTGTTAGCCTGGAGTTTCTCGGGGCAGCACGGATAATCGAAGGGGTTTGCGCCTTGGGGAGAGCTAAGATTCGCCCACCCGCACGCTTGTCCGGGCCCCTTCACGACCTCCCCAAACTGGGCCAACTGCGAAAAACCACGCTTCGGGCACAAGTTGACCTGAAACCGCCATCGGTCGCCTCTGTGCTTTCAGGGCACCCCAGGCTCCCCACTCCCTGGCCTTTCCCTTCCTCCAGCCCGGCATGGACACGAGCCCACGAGGTGTCTCGGCCTCAGCCGCCACTTTGCCGTCGCTGCTGCCACCGCTGTCGCTGCCAAGAGCTGAGCTGGGGTGGTTTTAGAAAAGTGAGGGACGAAGTGTGCGGGAGGGGGCTTGAGGAGTGGTGGGGAGCAGAACAGGCGCCCGGACCCCAGACAGGGCCCTTCTGGTGGCGCTCAGGGACCCAGCGCCTTCAGATCTTCCTCCTAGGGTCGGGGTCCGAGCGCGCCGGAGGGAGCCAGGCTGAGCATTGATTGTTGTTCTTCGCCCTCCCCTCCCCTCCACACCCTTCCCCACCCTCCCCTCCCTCCCATCCCCCACCCTTGTCTGCCAGGTTGGAGGAGGGTTTAAAGCCAGGTGCGCCGAGTCAGCTCGCCATGTCCAGATCCGGGGACAGGACCTCCACCTTCGACCCCAGCCACAGCGACAACCTGCTGCACGGCCTCAACCTGCTGTGGAGAAAGCAGCTGTTTTGCGACGTGACCCTGACGGCCCAGGGCCAGCAGTTCCACTGCCACAAGGCCGTGCTGGCCTCCTGCTCGCAGTACTTCCGATCGCTCTTCTCCAGCCACCCCCCTCTCGGGGGAGGGGTCGGCGGCCAGGACGGCCTGGGGGCCCCCAAGGACCAGCAGCAGCAGCCGCAGCAGCCACAGCCGCCCCCGCAGCAGCAGCCCCCGCCGCCCAGCAGCAGCCACCGCCGCAGGAGGAGCCCGGGACTCCTTCCTCCTCCCCCGACGACAAGCTGCTGACCAGCCCCCGGGCCATCAACAACCTGGTGCTGCAGGGCTGCTCGTCCATCGGGCTGCGCCTGGTGCTCGAATACCTCTACACGGCCAACGTGACCCTGTCCCTGGACACCGTGGAGGAGGTGCTGTCGGTCAGCAAGATCCTGCACATCCCGCAGGTCACCAAGCTCTGCGTGCAGTTCCTCAACGACCAGATCTCGGTGCAGAACTACAAGCAGGTGTGCAAGATCGCCGCTCTGCACGGCCTGGAGGAGACCAAGAAGCTGGCCAACAAGTACCTTGTGGAGGATGTGCTGCTGCTCAACTTCGAGGAGATGCGCGCCCTGCTGGACTCGCTGCCGCCCCCGGTGGAGTCGGAGCTGGCGCTCTTCCAGATGTCCGTGCTGTGGCTGGAGCACGACCGCGAGACCCGCATGCAGTACGCACCCGACCTCATGAAGCGCCTCCGCTTCGCGCTCATCCCGGCCCCGGAGCTGGTAGAGCGGGTCCAGTCGGTAGATTTCATGCGCACCGACCCGGTCTGCCAAAAGCTGCTGCTGGACGCCATGAACTACCACCTGATGCCCTTCAGGCAGCACTGCAGGCAGAGCCTGGCCAGCAGGTAGGAGACAAGAAAGGCGAGGGCGGGGTGGGGGGGGAGCCCTAGAGGCCGGAGGATGGGGGAGAGGGGAAGGATGGGCTGGGCGCGAGGCTCCCGCAGACTGAAAACAAACGCAAACAATTGCGATGGTGTGGTGAAAGTTGATTTCAGAGTCCCTGGAAGGTCAGTAGAGAACTGGCCTAACAGCATCCCCGAGCTGAGCGTTGGCAAGCCTGGGTCTTTACAGCCCCTGAGCGGAAAACATGGGAACTGTGGACCCAAAGGCTGAAACTGACAGCCAGGTGGGGGCAAAGGCCCTGGCCATTGAAGTGCAGCTTTGGAAGTCCCTCTAAGCCAGCCCTCCCTCCAAATCTCAAGAAGGACTTACTCAAGGAAAAGGAATCTGTGATGAGAAACCCTCACTCCACCTCTCCTGTTTCCTGCCTTGGGTAGTAGAAGCTCCCAGGCAATGCTAGCAGAGAAGAGCTTTCAATCTGTCACACATTTGTGGCACACATGTGAGTGTGTGTGTGTGTGAGAGAGAGAGACAGAGACAGAGACAGAGACAGACTAAGGTCTTCATCCCTTGGAAGTTAGAGCATCACAATGTTTTGTGTATAGGGTCACTATTGGCAGTAGCTGGCCTGCACTCAAGCAAACTTTTCTATTCAGTGGAAAGGCTGTCCTTTTCACTTTTAAATGAAAGCAAAGCAAGGTATTTCAGGGTGATGGGCTAAGTTATACCTAGTAACAATTCCCATCTCAGAGAGGAGTGCCCTTGAAAATTGTGAGCTATAGGAAGAAGAGATAGACAGTCTTCTAGTTCTAGTTGATCTGTGTGCCTGCTTTTGAGTCACCAAGAAGTTGGAGAGTTGCTGCTATTTAGAGAGAGGGAGAGAGAGGAGAGAGAGAGAGAGTGTGAAAGGGTAGTTCATGTCAGAGAGAGAAAAATGATGCCTTTTTAAAATGCTACTGAGATGAAAAGGCTGTAGGAATTGACAATCGCGTTTTATTGGCTCCAATTTTAAAACCGTTTTTTAATGAGCCCTAGCAGAGGGTGTCTTTCTCTTTTTAGAAAAGAGAAACAGTATCTTCTTTTTCTCATGATAAAACATCATGATTTCAGATGCCAGGCCACTACAACCTAAAGTGTCAAAGTGTTGCATTAAGAAAGTCCCTGGCCAGAAAATCTATCATGGCATTTGCCCATTCATGAAGGTACCTGAAGAATAAGGTCCACTTTGTGTATCCTTAAGGAATTAAATGTTTGGGGTTTTTTTTGGTTTTGTTTTCATTATGTTTCTAATAGACCTAGGCAACTAAAGTGTTTAAAAGTGAAAGATATTCTCTACGGTTATTTTGGCAGCGCCAGTGATAAGGTGAACCCAATAGGAAGCATGAGAAATCTCAAACTTGACCAAGTCCTGTAGGCTGATTTTTCTAATATCTGTGGGAGAGTTAGTGAATGGCAGTGTCAAAAAAATGACACTAGAACAATGGCAGAAGCAAGAACCCCTGTGTGCTTGAACAGTGAGCACAGGAGTCCAACTGAAAAGAACATGAAATGCAGTTTTATTTTGGGAGAGGTTTTATTTGTCAGAAGATCAAAATGTCAAAATCAGCGTCATGGGCAACTGTTACCCTCCCAGGGTGCATTGGTGATTCATATTCTGTTATTTTAATTTGTATCATTTTGTTATATCCTGTAAGTATACTTCATCTAGTACATAACATTCAAGAATTCATACAACACAGTAATAGTCCTGAACATCCAGCTATTCAAATTTTTCAAAAGATGTATAATCTAGTATACATTCTGAAATTCAGAGGGACAGTCCAATTAAGATTTGATAAGTTCTAAGGGTCATTTTGGCAGATATGTTTTATACATTTGAGCCAACACATGATTTTTGAAGACATCCATACACTGTTATCCAGCAAGTCTGTCTCTAGATTCAATGTTAGAAGAGTTGACTTTCAAAATGCAAAATCCATTTCCCACAGTAGTCTGGATTCAGCACACCAGCTGGGGCCTGCTGGCTGTGCCCTGGTGGATGGCTGCGATACCAGGCTGCCTGGCTCCGTGACGACACCTTCCAGCTTCATTGGGCCATATCATTTGAAGGATATGTAGTGGTGTCTGACCACTGAATGCTTACAAGTGTCATGGATGCTGCAAGAATCTGATACTTCTGTGGTAGGAAGAAAGAATGCATTTTTCTTTCAAAAGGGAGGATACAGAAAATAGTTCATGTGAGCCTATTCTTGATTTTAAAGTAATATAATTTAAATGTTATCCCATTATTAGTAACTCTGGCATTTTAAATTTCAGGAACTACTCTCATTATTCTCATCTTAATTCATAGAAAGAATACCAAAATAACCATTGAGATCTTAACTTAAATGTAGATAAAAATTCTGTAAGTTCTAACCAATAGTATTAAGTCAACTCATTTTATTATAGCATCAGCATAGTATAAAAATGTTCTCTCAGCCTTCCATGTAGTTTAACAAGGGGATAGACGTGTTAACCAATTGTTTTTGAGGTTGCATCACTTTTACTGAAGACAATCTAATGGAAGGACATTATATTTATAACTTTTTATCCACCTGTGGGTTTAAAAAGTGAAATATGAAAGAGTTCCTCAAATTGAGAGGCAATGAAAAAATTAAAACTGACCAGTCTGTTGAAATAAGTACAAAATATAAGCAAATAAAATATAACTTCAGAAGAGACTCTACCTGATTAAGAAAATATGTTATGTATAGCAAGCTGAGATATTTATATAATAGTGCTAATTTAAGTATGATTTTAAACATTATTAAATAACTTTGAATTCTTATTATGTGTAGAAAAATAAAACCACCCATGTATAAGGTCTTTATATAAATACTCAGTTTAAATTATTGCTATTGCTGCCTACTTTTTCTGAGTATGCCATTTTCATTGATTCATATTCTAGTTGAATGAACCACAACTTAGAACAACAAGTAATATAAAATAAGAGACATGTTACCTTGTATTCACATACATACATAAGTAATTTAAGATGACATACCTTAACAAAAAAGATAGAAAGTTTCAGTTAGAGAGGAATAATAAGCTTTAGTGATCCTTTGCACAGTACTGAGACCATAGGTAATAATAACATATAAATCTCAAACTTGCTAAAAGAGTAGATTTTAAACATTCTTGCCAACATTCTTGTCATGACGGATATGTTAATTAGCCTAATTTAACCTTTCTACAGTGTATTCACATATCAAAACATCATATTGTACTCCAAAAATAGATACAATGTTTATGTGTCATGAATTTTAAAAAAAATTTTAAAAAGATGACAAAATTTGAGTAGAGAGAAATTAAAATATTTTGACATATTTTGACATCTTAATTCTAGGATGTTTTCTTTTCATTTTATTGAAAGAAATATTTAACTTAAGAAATAAGTTTTTGAAAAAGTTTCTGGAAAAGTCAATATTAAAGTTTCGCAAACCATGCAAGTGTAATTTATAAAGTGACATGGTGCATAAATACATTAAGAAATAAGTATCAGAAGTCTAAGGTTAGCTAAAATAATGTCAAAAGTTCCTTTTTTATTTATATTTTTAAATTTTTAGACCTAATTAATAATTAAGTAATTATTTCAAATAAATCATTAACTTATTTATTAACATCTGTTCTACATTTGTCTTGCATCTCACAAAATGTAAGTTAAAAAATGCTTATAGAAAGTTGGCTTAATTAAGAATACGAAATAAGAAAGAATTAGTGCTGTACATCAATACATTATTCAATGATGTTACTATTGCACTTAACAGAAGTCCATCAAACCTCCAGAAAACACCTATGACAGAAAAGCATTCCTAATTTTTTTAAATATTTAACCACCAGATATTAAGTCTGCATTGAGTTCTATACTTAAGTGTAGTTTTTAAGAAATTGTATTTTATAGATGATAGTAGGTTACCTTAGAAAGAGTTCGCTTCCCATAAAATATGGTTTAATTAAAGGATTCACATAAATGAATGTAAATATCTATTTAAACATCAGGAGTACTATAATAATTATCTGTTTGCTAAAATGACTTGCAATGATTAAAAAGTCATTAGATTTCCTAAATCACTGTTCTAATTCCTGATTTTGGCCCTTAGAAAGGGTTTCTTTAAAGGCAGGACAGTGTTTTCTGTTGGTTATACTCATAAGCATTTACTGATGACCTTAACAAAGCAAACTAACCTTGTGTCCATTTATTGTCTAAATTGTTACTTCCTTTAGATCAATTTCATACTCTCAGATTAGAAGTTGTTAGGTAGTTAGATTTTTGTATCAGAAATTACTCAACCATTCAGAATACAATTTGTTTATTATCTGAAACAGGACCATTGATTACAAAATTATATCATAGGTCTGGGAGCCAAATAGTTACATCCTACGGTCAGAAGGCAGTTAGAGTAGATGTAAGTGCGTTGTGTTGGCATAGAGGATTTACTGAAAAAAGTGGATATTTTCAAATCTTAATTCATGCTTGTATTTTCTTCCTGTTTTCATGAACATGTTGATATTCACTCACTACCTTAGCTAACTTCTATATACCTTAATTTTCTTTACTTTAAAACACAGCCAAAATGTATACCTTGTTTAGAACCGATACTGCATGCATACTAGGAGATGTTCTCAATCCTTTTCAAAAATTCATTTATTTAATTCTGATAATAGCCCTAAGGGGCAGGTACCATCATAAGCTTCATTTTATAGATGCAAAAACTGATGCACAGAGAAGTTAATCATTGTGCCCATAATCGCACAGCTGGACCCAGACGGGACAGCACTTGTCTGGGTTCTCATCCACAGTTTGTTTCTTTTTACTATCACTCCCTCTATGCTTGGCTATAGTCTGGTGACTGACCTTGCAGTTATACATGGACTTCACACTTCCTTTTTGGAAAGAAACATTCAAGGGCTAAATATTAATGTATCTGACTTTAAAAGAAGTTAAGTGGAGGTGTTCTTCTAGGGG